TTGGAGAAATTGGGGACTTCCCTCATGACTGGGCTGTGGAGGGCTAATGGGGAGTAGGGATTGGAGAGTATGAAAAGGTCACTGGGACAGGTCACAAGGGGCCTTGAATGATACGAGGGGTTTATGTTTCATTCCCCTGTGGGTGATGAAGATTAGCCAGAAATTACTGAGCAGGGTTGTGAGTGTGGGACTGTCAGATGGTTAGCAGCCCGAGCCCCACTCTCATTGAAATGGGGGGAAATGGGGTGCTGGTGGCATGATGGGGGATTCCTTAAGCTAGATTCCTTAAGCTGGGGGATTCCTGAAGTCTGTCCAGGAGGAATCGGGGAAAGGTAGGTTGTGCGGTTCTGGCTCTGGAGGCCCGGGGCTGGGGTAAAGGGCTCGGCCCTGAGTCTGTTTCTCCTCTTTGATACATTTCCTGGCTCCTGCATGCCACCACCCCCCTCCCCATTCCCATCACAAGCAGGGAGGGGCTGAAAGGCAGCTCCTGGCACCTCCCTCATCACCATGGGGCTTTTCTATCCACCCATTTGGCCCAGCCCACACAGGGGCCTCTGTGGTCAGGCCTTTGTGTCTGCACAGTGGCCCTCTTTGTCCTGAGCAGCCCTCACCCCCCACCTCCCTCCTGCCCTTCTCTCTTTCCCTCTTTTTCTCTCCTGTGTCACAAAAAGCACCAGTTTTGCAGAGAGATAGCCAGGGCTCTAATCTTGGCTCCCCCCACTGAATCTCTGAGCAAGTTGTTTTGCTTCTCTGAGGCTTACTTTTGGGTTCATGAAAAAAGACGCTGTGTGAGGAATCAAACTCCTGGCAAGAATTGGTCTGCTACCCAGTCCTGAGACCTAAGCAACATGGGGACCCCTGCCCAACATCCACGCTCTTCTCTGAACCTCCTACTTACATCTCCAACCTCATCCTCTCTACTGCCTGGCCAGGTGGCTGTCATTCTCCCGTTTGGCAAATGAGAAAACCAAGGCCTGAGGCATTATAAGAGGGTGACCCAGGGCCCCATGCTTTGAAGGGCCCTGTACTTGATTCACTGCTTAGCTGTCCCATCTTGAAATTCTCCCTAGTTTTCGAACAAGGTGACCATTTTCATTTTGCCTTGGGTCCCACAAATTATGTAGCTGGTCCTGCTTGTGGGGAGGTGGAGGGGTAGCTTGCCCAGGCCTGGACCAGGCTTCCTGCCTCCTGGGCTGCCTCCCCTGGGTGCCTGCATCCTGGCATGCCAAGAGCCAGAGCTTCTACTTTGCATTTGGCATCAGGGACCGGGCCCCTGCCTGGAAACCTGAGGAGCACAGTTCCCTGCCGCCTTCAGGCAGGCAAGGGAGGGAGCATGGTCCAGGTCCATGCAGCAGTGCGGAGATCAGGCAAGACCAGGCTGCGGGAGCCAGCCCAGCCCTATGTAACCTGAGCCGCCAGTGTGGGTCCCAGTGCTGTGGCTCAGTCATTACTCCAGCCGGCCGGGAAGGGAATTCAGCAGGGCCTTCCTTCCCAGCAGGTCGGGAGTTCTAGGGCCAGGGGATGCACGCTGTGGGCCACTGTGACTTTGGACCTTCACTTCCCCTTTCTGAGCCTCAGTTTCCCTATTTGTAAAATGGTCATGATAACATCTACCTCACAGGGTTCTGGTGAAGACTAAATGAGGTACTTTAACGTGATGACTAGCTCAAAGGTGGTCACTACTAAATCGAGTTCTTACTCGCTCATGTAACAAATATTCATGAAGGCTGACCAGGCGACAGGGACGGTGCTAGGTGTTGGACATTTAACTGTGAACAGGATGGACCCTGGCTCTGCCTTCAAAGAGATGCCCACTAGAGGGGGAGATAACAGTGTGGTAAGTGGTGTGACAAGAGGGAGGTACCTGATGGGGCTCCTGGGCTGGGCCTCAGAGAAGCAACGGGGAGAGCCAAGAGAAAGGGTCAAGGGCAGAGAAGCGTGAAGGGGCATTGCAGGCAGAGGGAGCAGCAAGCAGCACTCAGGAGGCGAGTGAGGGCCCAGCACTGCAGCGTGGCAGATCAGAGGCAGGAGGTGAGGCGGAGAGGTGGGAAGGTCCGGCTTGGCAGGCTGCAGAGGTGGGCTTTCCCTTGAGGCTGGTGGAGCCACAGAAGGTGTGAGGCAGGTGATGGCTGCGAGGGGTGACAGGCACCCCACCTTAGCCCATGATGGAGGGATACTTGGAAATATCCCAGCTGAGCAAGGAGGCCCGAACCACGGCAGGGGCTTTCACTCCCGGCACAGATTCTCAGAGCAGGAAGTTTTCTCGGGGGAGATGAGAGAAGTGGAAAGAGGGAAGATGAGAAGGCTTGAGAGAGCCAAGTGCCTCCTCAGGGTTGGAGAGACAGGAAGCCTTCTAATGCACGGGGAGGAGTGCTCTTGGGCTTGCCCTTTCCCATCTGACCTGCTGCTGCTAATAGGACGCGGCAACTGTCTCCCTCCTGTGGCTCCATTACCCTCCTCTTGGGGACCATTACACGCCTGAGTCTTCACCACCAGCCTTCCCCGGGCTGCTTGGTTCTAGGGCTCCTCTGATGCCCCTCCATACTTCCAGATGGGGGCCCTGTGTGGGGCTTGTTGTGGGACTTGTTGAACCTCAATTTCCTGGCTGAGTCAATGGGTCTAATATCCTTTAGGCATGGAAACATCTACATTTTCTTGACAAACTATTGCCAGGAAATGTAAATAAGTACAATGATAAAAATAAAGGCCCTTAGGTCGTAGTGGATGGGGGCTCCTCAGGCCACCTCAAGTAAGGGGGGGGATTTGGAACTTATGGGACTTGATCTCTCAAGCCCAGTGATGAGAGAGCCAAGGGAAGATGTCAAGAGAATCAGATGTCCAGCCCCTCATTACAGGAAATACTAACCCCTCAAACTCGGGCAGTTTGGGACAACGGGCAAAACCCTAAAAAAAGAACCTTTACCATTTTGCAAAAGAGGAAACTGAAGTTCATAGAAGAGGTGAGGCAAGACCCCAAGGCAATAGGGTTCAAGGATATGTCCCTTTCCTGTTTCTCAGGTCTCACTAAGTCACTCATTGTGTTAGCTCAGACACTGGGTGTCTCAGGAATGCAGTTTCTTCGACTGTACAGTAAGGGAGTTGGACCAGAGCAGCAGCAGGACTCTGGGCTGCCCACCCCCCAGGCAGCTAGAGACTGAGGCAGAGCCGTGAGTCCTCATCTTGCGGTCAAAGGAATTTTTTTCCCTTGAACTTAGTAGTAGTTACAGTAGAGGTCTGAAGGCTTGAGAGAGAGAGGAGAAAAGGGGTGCTGGTTGGGGCCTCCAGTGACCAGGGGAACTTCCCAACACAGGGACCCCAAGGCCTGGGCTCCATAAGTAGGAGCCATAAGATTCCTAGCCGCCTATAAGCTGCATGGACCAGCTTGCATAATAGGTGGAGGAAGCTGGACAAGAGGCCTTTGTGTCTTCCAGGCAGAGGTCCCTGGGGGACTACAGAGGCAGCTCAGTCACACAGGGCCGTGTGTCTGCTCTGCTCCTGCTCCTGGCAAGGCTGTAGCCAGTATCATTCCTGGGCCCCTCCTGGGGCCAGCAACCAGGACTCAGTCAGCAGGTGGGAAGCCCAGGAGAACCCAAGGCTCCAGGGCCCTGGGCAATCTCCTTGACCACAGAAAGAGGCCTCCTGTGCACTCTCCAGACACCCACCGTCCAAAGCCCCCCATGGATGAACACCGGTTGGTGGGAGAGTAAGTGTGATTGATTGCCTCTATGTCACAAAAAAGGAAGCCAGGAGAGGGACTGGAGCTGTGGGTCAAGGTCTCCCAGAGTCAGTGCTGAAGCTGGGTCAGAACCTATATTCCTGACACCTAAACCAGAATGAGAGGGAGGCATTCATTCATTCATCCATTCGGCATTCAGCAAGTATTGGGCAACTCCTGAGAACTCTGGCATGGGGTGTAGGAAGAAGGCAGACCTGGTCATCCACCTCCTTGCTGCTCACAGTCTAGAAAAGGTACAGACAGGGTCTCTGACCAGAGAAGGCCATCAGAGTGGGGTTGAAAGCAGAGAAGGGAGTGCTGTGTGTAATCTGAGAAGGCAGCTCAAAGGAAGCAGCTCAAGTTGAGGGATCAAAAACAACCAGGTGTTCAGGAAATTTCTAATGACTATCCTGCCCAGTAACGGGAGCATAGGTGAGGCAGAGGCTCTCCCCACCTCCCCCTCCCCAGCCGCCTTCTCCTCGGGAGCAGGAGAGACACAGGACCCTGAATGTCTGTATCTCCTCTCTGGGCGACGGGCACACCCTCCCCAGCCTCCGGGTCCAAAGCAAAGGGAGGCAAGTTCTCGGCGTGGTGCTCTGAGCAGGTTCCTGGCAGGAGAGGGCGCAGGTTCGCGTACAGGTCCCGTGGTGGGCAGCGACGGAAGCCACACAGGTATCCGACAAACTTTGCACATTTAGTGTCTCTGAAACCCTGCTCTCACGTCGTGTGAGGAAGGCGGGTTCTGCCAGGCGGTAGGTCAGTCGCCCCAGGCCCCTTCCCGCGCTGCCCGCGTCCCCTCAGCCTAGCGCCCCCGCGCGGGTGGCGAGGTGTCCGTTCGGGAGGGAGGGGGCGGTGCCAGGGTCTGTCCAGAGTCCGCCC